CATTAAGTCAAACTTTTATCAAAAATGACCTTTGCTCCCGGGTTGACCCAGCATAAAATGGGTACCAGGTAAAGTCTCAAGAAGTAAAGGTGACCTGAGTGGTGTTGACATCATCCACTGATCGCTGACTGGTCTGTACAAATCTTTTGTAGCATCATGTACTGGATGCACCATTGACTAATTTTACTGTTCTCCATGGGGATGGTGCTACAAAACTCTCCTCTCCCTCTCCAAGCAGAGAGGTAAAACTGGCACTTGAGCCTTACAGCTGGTCCTTACAAGCTTAGACATGGAATCCATGCAGAGGTGTATCATTACAAGTAGTAGCCGGGGCTCAGACTGACAAGACCTATCCACACATCTCCATGGTCAACATAGAAATGTTTCCTACTGGGAGCTCAGCTAATTTAGATCTGATTGACTTTTCCTTTGGAGTTGGAGCACATATGCTTGGAAGGTAAGGAACCAATAGTTTGCACACAAATAAGTCAGATCTGTAAAACAGATGTGAATGCAAAACTTATGTTCTGGAACAAGAATAAAGTCCAGGAGTGGACGAACAACCAAGATTCTCCACTGCAGTTCACAGCTGCCAAACGCAGAAGAAGAAGGAATCAACTATAGATAGGTCATACAGTTCAACAGGTTTGACCCTCTGACGAGAATGTTCCGGTACCCAACAGAGAGCAACACTGAAAAAAAACCATAATGAACATAGAGCAAAGGAAAGACCATGCAAAACATGAAATGACGGTAAAGAACAGCCTTAAAGAAATTAATGTTAAATTGTACAATACATCAGAAAGAGCATTCAGAAGGTCCGTACATCTCCTGCAAAACTTCAATGAGATAACTCGAGGTATAAAACAAGAAGAACATATGTTAAAAAGTGCTCTATGAACTTGGCCAAAGATAACAGTCTTCAACTCTTTATCTTGGGACCTAGGCATTAAACAATTACTAATGTGAATTTTTTCTTCTATGCCACACAGCATTCTATACATTTACTGGATACCTCGTGAGATAAGAACCAACTTCACAGCACTCGAGACATTCCCATAAGTGTTTCTTCCCTATCTTCAGAAGCAAGCACAAAGTTCCAGTTCTGATGGCACCAGTAATAGTATGACTGACTTCCTAACTGCTATAAGTGTTGAGCGACGGCCAGATTCCCTGGTGACTCCTCGCTGCACCAGCCTCTCCACGCCATGATGATCTATTTGTGCCTCCGCACTGTTCCATAACTTCCAAAGAGCTCTTACAACGTCTAGCTTATCATGTATAAACTTCCCACAGTGTCGTGCAGAACCATTCTATCACCAATGGGTGATGAATTTATGCAAGCCAAGCTAGATGTTGTCAATGCCCATTGGAAGCAAATGAATAATGCAGAGGCACAAATAGATCATTCAAGTCTGGAAAGAATGTTACTGCCAGGAGATTGGTCGACGCCCTACACTCAGTGAAAAAAGCAAGACCGACATATTATCAAACTGCTACTGGCACCTCTGGAATTGGAACTCTTCACTAGCTGCTGAAGATGAGGGCGGAGCGCCTAAAAGAACGTCCCAAGTGATGTGATGCCAGTTCTTAACCCACAACACTAGTCCTCTATATGAAAACTTTCTAACTAAATGTCCTTTGTTCGAGATTTCGAAACATGATCAAAGAAAACTAGTTCCGCTGTTAGTGAGTGGGGCTGAAATTAGGCCTGAGTTTTTCAAACTGAATACACAATACATTAGTTTGTCAGCTGCAATGTGAAAGTGTGGCGCGTGAACGTAATTTTGCGTATTTGTCCGCATATCTTGTAGGAGGTTAGTTTAGCCTCTCTGGTTTCCTTGCAGACTGGCGTGGACGATCAAGACTCCACAATCTGCGATCTGCAACTGCGTATATCCGTTCGTGTGTTGACACCCCTCCATGCCATGACAAAAGGCTGTCAAGATTCTTCTCATGCTGTCTTCCTCTGTCTCTCCTTCCACAGATCTTTCCAGTGGTCGCAACATGTTCCATTTTCCCTCTTTCCATAACATGATTAAAAGATGGTGACTGTCTCTTTCTGATGATTGTGATAAGTTGTCTTTGATCCCTCGCCTCTTTCAAAACATCCTGGTTACTTTTCTTAGCTATTCAAGGAATTCCAAGGATTTTTCTGTAAAACCACATCTCCGAGGTATCAAGATATTGTTCGGTGTGTTGATTAATTGTCAATGATTAACAGCCATATTTTAAAACTGGCTCTATAGTAGCATGCGAGAATTATTTTCCTAACCTCCAATGACGTGGATTTATTGCACAAAATGTTCTTCATTTTATAAAATGCAGCCTTGGCCTATTCTATTCTATTCTTTATCTCTATGATACATCTTCCCTCTGATGTTATCCATGTGCCCAGATACTTAAAAATTGTTTGCTAATAGACCGAATTACTGCGTCACGAAATTGTCTGTCTAAAAACTGTAATCAGTATGCTACTGGCACCATGAGTATCGGAACTCTTCGCTGGCTGCTGAAGATGGGGACGGAGCGCTTATGGGAATGCCCCGAGTGCTGTGATGTCGGTTCTTGAATCAAAGCAAATCAAATCAAAACTGTCACCAACATGAAACATTTTGAAAGCTAGGCCTATGTGTTATGGAGTAAACACACAGTCAAAAAATATGCGTTGCCATGACAAGCTATCATTAAGCAAGAAACAACGCACAACATAAAGAAGGAACGTGATTAAAAATTGCAATTAAAAAACTGGACGTTGCGACAACATGTGTTCATCAGCAAAGTCACTGAGCGATTATTTGTAGATGTGGCTCAGCCCTCGAAGCACACCCTAACTACATTCAGTGTTAACAGCGACAGTGAACAGACGTTATCAAGGGTAAGCCCGACCTGCCATCTTGTCAGTTTCTTCCGAGAAATATTCATTACACTTTTTAATCTGTTCCTGGTATTCTCATCATGGCACGAAGTAAAGCAATCAGAGACTCGATGAGAATGCACAGAAAGATAAAGGTGGGCTCGTGGGTAGTGGTAATGTTACTTGCCATCACTTTTTAGGAAGAAATTTGTCGTTATTTGAAGTCCCATCCTGACTCTTGCCAGGGGCGGCAGGCAATATAGCCAGGCTATAAATATGGCCAATTGGCTGAACGCGGTTTCTGGGACCTCTGCACGGTGATCCTCACCCACATGGTGGCACATTGTGTTATCGGGTGTTTATCGCTTGTGTGATGTCCTGGTGGGGTAGAAAGTCAGTCAGTCAGAGGGCAGTGGTTAGTGTCTCTGAGGCAGTCAAGGCTGATGAAGATCAGTTTTATTACCGGGCCAGGGTCATCATCATCATCAGGTGTCTTGCCGACTGGCGTGAGCGATCATGCCTCTCCATAATCTGCGATCTCCTGCAGCATGTATCAGTTCGTGTGCCGACACACCTCCATGCCATGCAACAAAACTGTCAAGCATCTTCTCTCGTTGTCTTCCTCTATCTCTCCTTCCACATATCTTTCCAGTGGTCACAACATATTCTATTTTTCCTCTTCTCATAACATGGCCGAAAAATGATGTCTGTCTCCTTCTAATGTCTATGATAAGTTGTCTTCGGGATCCTGCTTCTTTCAAAACCTCCGGGTTGCTCTTTTTGGCTGTCCGATGTATTCTAAGCATTCTTCCGTAAAACTACATCTCCGAGGCCTCCAGAAATTGTTTGACCTGCCTACCGATTGTCCAGGATTCACAGCCATATGTTAAAACTGGATGTATGTAGCAAGCAAGTATTCTCTTTCTAACTCTCAATGACAAGGATATATTGCACAAGATGTTTTTCATTTTAAAAAATGCAGTTTTTGCCTGTCCTATTCTGTTTCTTATTTCAGTTATGCATCTTCCATATGATGTTATCCATGTGCCCAGATACTTACATTTCTGTACTTGTGCTAAAATAACACCATCAACCTTTATTACACACTTAGGAATAATTCGTTTCTTTGATACCACCATTACTTCTGTCTTCCCATTATTCAAACTGAGGCCCATTCTTCCGCTTTCTAACACCACGTCTATCATTTCCTGTAGTTCTTTCTGACTTGTTGCTTTCAAGACGGTGTCACCAGCATAACGTAAATTGTTTATATTGTGCCCACCAACCACAATTCCGGGCATACCAATTAAAGCTCTCATTATATATTCACTGTATATTGAAAACAAATCAGGTGACAGTACACATCCTTGTCGTACGCTCCTCTTTATGCGTTGAAATGTACCTAAACAGTTGTTAATTCTTTACCGGTCAATTTCCGGGCCAGGGTATGCAGTTGTAAAAGGAAATAGATAAGCAGATTGCAGGTTAAGCTTCTGTGGAGCGAGGACGAGCAGTGAAACAGGCTGATGTACTGTATGCTACGAGACATAAGAAGTTTGCGAGAATCAAGTGATGACTGTGAATCTGGCAACCATGACTGCAAGAACAGCAAGTCAAAAGGGGTGCAAAGCAACATAAAAAGCATTATGCTGGAAGCCAAGGACGAAGAACTGGTGTCGACATGCGCCTTACGCTGTGGGATTTAGAGAAACATAGGATCCAATCATTCATGAACTAAATGGTTCAAAGTGCAGTAGCGATGATCTGTCGACTAACTGATTCAGTATTATTCAACTGGTAGCCCGAGTTCCGAATCCGGCCCGCAGAGGCCTAGCAATTGGCCCGTGGATAACTGCGTTATATTGCCCGAATGATCTTTCTATGCCAGGACTCGAACCTCTGGCCTGTGACGATCTCCATTGTCAACATTTTAACCCTTCAGTCAACTTAGTTAAAAAGCCGCTTGGTTTATGAAAGCCTAAGCTAAAAAGGCCGTACAGATGGTTGATTGTACGTGTGTCACTCTCCTGCTTCTAAAGTGTAGAAAGTGTTAACATGGCGCCCGCGGTACAAACTTAAGACGTCGTTTTCTTGTGCGAACATCTTTCGAATTATTAAATTTTATTGATATGTACAATTTGTTATGTCTCTGCACGAGTCTGAGACTGTTGGCAGTCTTGATCTCGACCCTAAAATAACTGGAATGTTGAAGAAAGGTGTGTATATAGATAACATAGTTAAGTTAGAAACCAAATAACCCATAGGGAGAGGGGCGCAGTCTATCTAATTGTAAGTTACTAATGTACTAATATTTAATTTTAAATGCAGATTTTGAGTGAATGAAGTTCAGCTCCACCAGTTCTGCACAACGAGCCATAAACAGCCTGTGACACAAAGCGCCAACATTTGGATGAGAATCCCTCGGGTGCTAGTCCCAAAAACCCCGTTGGCGTTGACTGACTGACTTTCTACAGTCTACACCACCAGGACATCCACACAAGCGATAAACACCCGATGACACAATGTGCCATCATGTGGATAAGGATCACCGTGGTGAGGTCCCAGAAACCGCGTTTAGCCTTTAGGCCATATTTATGGCCATGCTATTTTGCGGCCCCTGGCAAGAGCCAGAGTAGGGCTTCAAATAACGAAAAATATATCCTAAAAAAGGATGAGAAGTTGAAAACCCCGTTTAACTGCCAGGTTATATTAGGGCCCCAGACAGAAGCAAGGGTGGAGCTTTAAAATAACACAAATTTGTCCCATATTTTGAAAGTATAATAATGCAGATCTTAGAGGACGAACTTTGTTGTTTGTGTAAAGTTCACACAATAATATTCTTTAATATTTTTTGGGTTTGCTCAAACCATAACCCTAACCTAAATGAGTATGAAATATTAGAGAACATTATGTGAATGTAAACAAACAACAGATGGTGTCCCTTATGGTTGCCGAAAGCAGACTTTGGATTGCATCCCTTAGGGTTGTCGTTTTCAGTTATGGCAACTAATTCAGCAAGGTGTGAGCAGGGGGTCTGAAAGATATCAAAAACATACGTGAAAACATAAGCGGACTTTGAATCCGGTTGCAACAGGTACTATTAGCATATCGACTCTTGGTTGGCTGCTGGGGAAGGAGACAGAGCAGGTAAGGGAATGTCCTGAGTGCAAGCATGTCATTTCTTGATTCATTCATTTTGTCACTTCACCTCTTCACTCTAATGATGGATGATGTCATCAGGACCTGTGAGGATAAGACAAGTGCTGAGTAGGGTACTGGAAGATGAGACTAATCTAACTATCTACGATGTGGCCCTGATAACTAAATCAGATTATCTACAGCGTGACTTACTTATCTGAAAGGATGAACTCAAGAAGAGAGGGATGACTATCAGTCTCCCCAAAGCTAAAACTATGATGATCTCAAGAAAAGAGATGAAACACTAGACCTTAATGGGACAGTATGCATTGGAGCAGGTTAGTTCAGACACCTTGGAGTTGTAATAGACTAGAATGGAGGCAAAAAAAGCAGCAGCTGGGAGAGTTTTCCAGGCCATAAACCAAAAAGTTCTTTGGTAGAAAAAAAAAAAAATTAGCAAAAGAATAAACATGGTTGTATACCACTGTATTTAAGTGCCAGTCCTGACCCACGGGTGTGAATCATTGGCAGTGAAAACAGCTCACAGAAGCCAGCTTCGGGCCTCAGAAATAAGGTATCTGAGAAAGGGTGTCCAAGTGAAAAGAAGGGATAAAGTTCGTAACCAAACAAAATGTCATGATCTTTAAACCCAGGCCTTACAAACTAGAGTAGATCAGTCACAGTTACAGTGGTTTGGTCATGTATGCAGCCACCATGGCAGATCAGGCATGGGAGGCCAAGAATGAGGGAACCATACCATCAGGGTGACCCAGGGTTCCCTGGGAAGACAACAACGACAGTCCTTGACTGACAGGACTTGAGCGGAACAAAGTCAGAAACAAAACTGCAAATAGAGAAGTCTGGTGATCTCTCTAGAAAACCTCTACACCCCAAGGTAGAAGTAGATTGACTAAGTGAAGTAAGTAAGTTCAATAGTTTATTATTCGGTCTCTACATTAAAACCTAAACTTAAACTGAGTGAAGTAAGTAAGTTCAATAGTTTATTATTCGGTCTCTACATTAAAACCTAAACTTAAACTGAGTGAAGTAAGTAAGTTCAATAGTTTATTATTTGGTCCCTACATTAAAACCTAAACTTAAACTGAGTGAAGTAAGTAAGTTCAATAGTTTATTATTCGGTCTCTACATTAAAACCTAAACTTAAACTGAGTGAAGTAAGTAAGTTCAATAGTTTATTATTTGCTCTCTACATTAAAACCTAAACTTAAACTGAGTGAAGTAAGTAAGTTCAATAGTTTATTATTCGGTCTCTACATTAAAACCTAAACTTAAACTGAGTGAAGTAAGTAAGTTCAATAGTTTATTATTCGGTCTCTACATTAAAACCTAAACTTAAACTGAGTGAAGTAAGTAAGTTCAATAGTTTATTATTTGCTCTCTACATTAAAACCTAAACTTAAACTGAGTGAAGTAAGTAAGTTCAATAGTTTATTATTCGGTCTCTACATTAAAACCTAAACTTAAACTGAGTGAAGTAAGTAAGTTCAATAGTTTATTATTCGGTCTCTACATTAAAACCTAAACTTAAACTGAGTGAAGTAAGTAAGTTCAATAGTTTATTATTCGGTCTCTACATTAAAACCTAAACTTAAACTGAGTGAAGTAAGTAAGTTTCAATAGTTTATTATTTTGCTCTCTACATTAAAACCTAAACTTAAACTGAGTGAAGTAAGTAAGTTCAATAGTTTATTATTCGGTCTCTACATTAAAACCTAAACTTAAACTGAGTGAAGTAAGTAAGTTCAATAGTTTATTATTCGGTCTCTACATTAAAACCTAAACTTAAACTGAGTGAAGTAAGTAAGTTCAATAGTTTATTATTCGGTCTCTACATTAAAACCTAAACTTAAACTGAGTGAAGTAAGTAAGTTCAATAGTTTATTATTTGCTCTCTACATTAAAACCTAAACTTAAACTGAGTGAAGTAAGTAAGTTCAATAGTTTATTATTTGCTCTCTACATTAAAACCTAAACTTAAACTGAGTGAAGTAAGTAAGTTCAATAGTTTATTATTTGCTCTCTACATTAAAACCTAAACTTAAACTGAGTGAAGTAAGTAAGTTCAATAGTTTATTATTCGGTCTCTACATTAAAACCTAAACTTAAACTGAGTGAAGTAAGTAAGTTCAATAGTTTATTATTTGCTCTCTACATTAAAACCTAAACTTAAACTGAGTGAAGTAAGTAAGTTCAATAGTTTATTATTTGCTCTCTACATTAAAACCTAAACTTAAACTGAGTGAAGTAAGTAAGTTCAATAGTTTATTATTTGCTCTCTACATTAAAACCTAAACTTAAACTGAGTGAAGTAAGTAAGTTCAATAGTTTATTATTTGCTCTCTACATTAAAACCTAAACTTAAACTGAGTGAAGTAAGTTCAATAGTTTATTATTTGCTCTCTACATTAAAACCTAAACTTAAACTGAGTGAAGTAAGTAAGTTCAATAGTTTATTATTTGCTCTCTACATTAAAACCTAAACTTAAACTGAGTGAAGTAAGTAAGTTCAATAGTTTATTATTCGCTCTCTACATTAAAACCTAAACTTAAACTGGGTGAACTTGAAGTAGCAAACAAAAGTTAGGCACCATTTTTCAGCCATAAGGTGTATTGGATAAATGGGAAAGTAAAAAGTAAAGGAGCCTTTTCAATGCCTTTAGCAAGTTTCTGCTACCCAGTTTATCCGTCTCTTTCTTGGTCTTCCTCTTCCCTTACCGTCATATGTTCTGCTGTAAAAAGTCTTATATGCAGTTTGACCTGGCTGCATTCTCATTAGATGGCAAACCATTTTATTCTGTGTCTGTCAGTATAATCCAGACATGGTCTTATTCCAACTTTTTCTCTAATGCTGGTATAATATCTGACTAATGTGAGATATTTTCTGCCATTCATATTTCCTTTACTGCCTTATGCGAGATATTTTCTGCTACTCACATTTCCATTTCTGACTAATGCAAGGTATTTTTACCACTCTTATTTCCATTTCTACTGAATGCAAGATATTTTCTGCCACTCTTGTTTCCATTTCTACCCAGTGCGAGATATTTTCTGCCACTCTTTGTTTCCATTTCTACCCAATGCGAGATATTTTTCTGACAATCATATTTCCATTTCTACCTTATGTGAGATATTTTCTGTCGCTCATATTTCCATTTCTGCCTAATGCGAGGTATTTTCTGCCACTCATATTTCCATTTCTACCTAATCAAGGTATTTTCTGCCACTCATATTTCCATTTCTACCTAATCAAGGTATTTTCTGCCACTCATATTTCCATTTCTGCCTGTTTAGAAAATATTTTTTGTCAATCAATGTTTTTTTTTTCTTCAGCTCATCTGACCAACCTGAGGCATATTATGACGCTTTCCAACCTGGAGATTGAGCGCCTGGCAAACCTGCCAGTTAAGGATGTACAAATGATAAAAGATTTGGTGGCTGAGAAATTGGTTCGGAAACCTGTCACTGGTAACTAACTCTGTGTGTGCTGTTTGCCAGAAAATCATCATCTTGTGCCCTGGCGATATGAGTTATGAGCTGGCACTCATGATTTTCCCATAAGCCAGAGTTCCAGTTCCAATTGTACAGATAACAATCTGATTGTATGTCTGTCTTGCCCCTTCAGTGAGTGTTGACCAGATTCTCTGGTCACTCCTTGTTGCACCAATCTGATTGTATGTCTGTCTCGCCCCTTCTGTGAGTGTTGACCAGATTCTCTGGTCACTCCTTGTTGCAACAGTCTCTTCATATCCTGATAATCTGTGTGTGCCCCCACACTGTTTGCTTACTCCCAAAGGGTCCAGACAATATCTGGCTTGTCATACATCTGAGCACATCCAGCTGGTTTATCTACCTATTGCTGGCCTGTCATGCATCTGAGCACGTCCAGCTGGTTTATCTACCTATTGCTGGCTTGTCCTGCATCTGAGCACGTCCAGCTGGTTTATCTACCTATTGCTGGCCTGTCATGCATCTGAGCACGTCCAGCTGGTTTATCTACCTATTGCTGGCTTGTCATGCATCTGAGCACATCCAGCTGGTTTATCTACCTATTGCTGGCTTGTCATGCATCTGAGCACATCCAGCTGGTTTATCTACCTATTGCTGGCTTGTCATGCATCTGAGCACATCCAGCTGGTTTATCTACCTATTGCTGGCTTGTCATGCATCTGAGCACGTCCAGCTGGTTTATCTACCTATTGCTGGCTTGTCCTGCATCTGAGCACGTCCAGCTGGTTTATCTACCTATTGCTGGCTTGTCCTGCAACTGAGCACGTCCAGCTGGTTTATCTACCTATTGCTGGCTTGTCCTGCATCTGAGCACGTCCAGCTGGTTTATCTACCTATTGCTGGCTTGTCCTGCATCTGAGCACGTCCAGCTGGTTTATCTACCTATTGCTGGCTTGTCCTGCATCTGAGCACGTCCAGCTGGTTTATCTACCTATTGCTGGCTTGTCCTGCATCTGAGCACGTCCAGCTGGTTTATCTACCTATTGCTGGCTTGTCCTGCATCTGAGCACGTCCAGCTGGTTTATCTACCTATTGCTGGCTTGTCATGCATCAATTCACTGCCAGGTGGTGCAGATCCCGCTAATTTATCTACCGGTTGATTTCCCAATACACCCTGGAGAAAACATCCAAAGGATCCTAACTATCCGGGATCTTGAGGCAATGCCTTGAACCCTGCAGATAAGCGTAGGTGCTCATGTTTCACCATCTGGCATGAATATCAGAATCACAGATCAGATCAGTGCTCTCATCTGACCTCATCAATATGGTCAAGCCATCCAGGTGTTTGCCTGCCCCTTGCTCTTTTTTTCATCAGTCTTTCCAATTGTTAGCAAGTTCTGGAGTCAATTCCTTCTTATAACTTGTCCAAACACACTGACAGAACATTTCTTGAAATCATATGCGTTAGGGCGAAAAGTTAAGATATCACAGCCTATTTGTAAACCACCACACAGCATGCAAGATGCTCTTTCAAGAACAAACATGAAAGAAGGAAAATAATACTGACAGAACACTTAACAATGTACTGAGCTTAGTTGTTATAATCACATCGGCAACCACGAACCTCTTTTAAGTAGTGAAAACATAGAAAATGCAATGGTACAGACATGTCATAAGATCCAACAGCCTCCCAAAAACAATACAGAAGAGCTCTTTAGAGGGAAATGGGAGAAGAGGCAGACCAAGAATGACTTGGATACATAACCTGACTGACTGGACAGGCTTTAGACATGCAACCCTGAAGTCCATGGCATCCGACCATCAACGGGTGAGGGAGCTTACCAGACAGTCAACAGCAGTTGTGTGACTCAAAGACACACAGTGTTACTGGATGATGATGATGATGAATTGTAAAGAAGATGACTGAGCAGAGTTGGGTAAATGTTAAGTTTTGATTTAGTCTTTCTTCACTCCTGGGATATAGATGTGCTTTTTGGTCTGAGTTTAACCTTTACTCTACCAGAGCACATGTATTTACGAATTCAATTTTGTTTTTCTGTGTAGTCCCCAATGTTAAATTCTTGGTAAATTTTACAGTTTCTGCCAGGGACCTTGTGATATTTGATGTGATGTTTCATTGTGGTTTCAGCTCTTGAAATACTACACAAGAAGACTGATGTCTGTTTGCAGCACTGGAGACTTGGCACCAACTGCCAGGTCATTGACAGCGTTTTAAGAGGTGAGATAAGTTTACTAGAGGTGAGGTGTGTGTACTAGAGCTGAGGTGTGTATAATAGAGGTGAGGCATGTGTACTAGAGGTGAGGTGTGTGTACTAGAGGTGAGGTGTGTGTACTAGAGGTGAGGTGTGTGTACTAGAGGTGAGGCGTGTATACTAGAGGTGAGGTGTGTGTACTAGAGGTGAGGTGTGTGTACTAGAGGTGAGGTGTGTGTACTAGAGGTGAGGTGTGTGTACTAGAGGTGAGGTGTGTGTACTAGAGGTGAGGTGTGTGTGTGCTAGAGGTGAGGTGTGTGTACTAGAGGTGAGGTGTGTGTACTAGAGGTGAGGTGTGTATACTAGAGGTGAGGTGTGTGTACTAGAGGTGAAAGCATGTGTACTAGAGGTGATGTGTGTGTACTAGAGGTGAGGTGTGTGTACTAGAGGTGAGATAATGTGTACTAGAGGTGAGGTGTGTGTACTAGAGGTGTGTGTACTAGAGGTGAGAGCATGTGTACTAGAGGTGAGGTGTGTGTACTAGAGGTGAGGTGTGTGCACTAGAGGTGAGAGCATGTGTACTAGAGGTGAGGTGTGTGTACTAGAGGTGAGGTGTGTGTACTAGAGGTGAGATGTGTGTACTAGAGGTGAGGTGTGTGTACTAGAGGTGAGAGCATGTGTACTAGAGGTGAGGTGTGTGTACTAGAGGTGAGGTGTGTGTACTAGAGGTGAGGTGTGTGTACTAGAGGTGAGAGCATGTGTACTAGAGGTGAGGTGTGTGTACTAGAGGTGAGGTGTGTGTACAAGAGGTGAGAGCATGTGTACTAGAGGTGAGGCATGTGTACTAGAGGTGAGGTGTGTGTACTAGAGGTGAGGTGTGTGTACTAGAGGTGAGGTGTGTGTACTAGAGGTGAGGTGTGTGTACTAGAGGTGAGGTGTGTGTACTAGAGGTGAGGTGTGTGTACTAGAGGTGAGGTGTGGGTACTAGAGGTGAGGCATGGGTACTAGAGGTAAGAGTTGTGTGTATTAGAGGTAATTTATGTGAATTGGGTGATGTACATATAGTGTAGTTATTTCGGTCACAGGAGTGAGGGAAAGCCAAAGCTGTTGTGGTGTATAAAGAGATAATAAATAAGCTAATGATAACTCAATTAAAACATCTGTTGAGTGAAAGAAATACTGAACTACTGAGCGATGTCTTTCAGTACAGTTCTGTTTCCATACAATAATTGTCGACCCTCAGTGTTGTTGCAACTGCATTGAGGTACACCATGACAACCTCCCACTGACAGTCAGCTGTCCAGGCTTGAATGTCTGTCAGATAAATGATCTGTGGCATAACATCAAAGTCTTAAATGTCCTACTGTCAAACGTCCTACGGTTTGCCATAAAGGTTTAGATACCTGTTTTACCATTGGCTGCACTCAGCAGGGTGTCAGGACCAGAAGAAAGGGAAGCCGTGCCAGATGCAGGCTTTTACCGTACAGTCTTGCTAAGTGTCCAGATAAAATGTTAAAGGTGTCTAATGTGCTGAAGAGGAATGTCGAGGAATGTACCTGTTTGTGTGGTCATCAAAGTTGTGGACCTTCGGGCTGCTTTCTGCTGGTCTACGTAGGGTGCAACCCATGACGATTTGGAAACGCAACACACGGATGTAAGGTTAAGCAGTCAAGTGTATGACAGGACGATTCCTTGGGTGAGCCCAGAACCAAAGCATTATGTTTTGGCTTTTTTTATTTGTGGAAGCCTTCTTGGATGGCGAGTAATGCCCATATTCTGTCCCTGCATTCTCTGGAGAGGCGACCGGTCTACATGGTGTTGAGGTTATATACGAGGGAACAAAGAGAACTCAGCATATATAAGATTACATCAGGTCCCTCGAAACTATCTGGAAAGTTAACCCGGTCAATAAATGCTTGATGAAATCAGATGTGTCTGTTGAAAGGTGCAATAATCACAGTTTTTTGCGGTAAACAGTCACTACACAGTTACTTCACTCAGGCGAACGAAAAGAAGAAGTATAACCCATGAGCCAGTTTTATTTAGGTGTTCGGTTCTTGAACAAATATATTTTCTTTTTCTTGATACATGGTATCCAAAGAACTGTTTTCTAACACTTAAGTTGAAATTGACCCATAAAGAGAACTGATTACTCGCATCAGAAAGAGACAGTCGACATTCTTTGGTCATGTCTTGAGAAGGATAAAACTGGAGTACATTGTGACGGTGGAAAAGAGGGCAAAAGAGGCAGAGGAAGACAAAGAAAGAAAAGATGCTGGACAGTTTGACATTATGGCATGGAAGATCGTCTCTGTCAGAATTTATTAAAAGTACACGAGACATACGGCATGGACTGTAAGAAGAAAAAGAAGTTAAAAAGGCTTGCTTTTTCATATTAGTGCTTTTGAAATATTGTTTTCAGTAATAAATGAACAACAAAGATGGAAATTAACTCTCTTTTAAAAAAGCAGTTATTATAATAATTAAAATCCCTTTTATGGGTTCCAGGGCTTCTGTGGGGAAAACAAGAATAGACCCACTGACTACCCAGAAGCATGTCGTAAGAGTCGACTAATTGGGAGCTTCCTTCGAAGTCTGAGTGCATCTGCCTGAGAGGCAAGGTACCAACAATCTGCGTACACATGAATCAAAACTGTAAAACAGACTTGCATGCAACACCCAGGTTCTGCAACAGGACTTCCCCGTATGGGTTCTGGGGCCTCATTGTGGGGAAAACAAGAATAGACCCACTGTCTCCCCTACAAGCATGTTGTAGGAGTAGACCAATTAGAGACTTCCTTTGAAGTCGGAAAGCATCAGCCTGAGCGGCAAGGAACAACCAACTGCACACAAATAAACCAATAAAATGGATGTACATGCAAATCTCAGGCCCTGAGACAAAGCCAAAATCCAAATGTACCAGGACTTTCTGCCAGAGCTTACAGACGGTGAACAAAGAAGAAGAAGGAAAGGACTAGACTTCAAAAGTGGATGAATAGCTAGAACTTTCCACCAGAGTTTACAGCTGGTGAACGCTAAGAAAAAAATAATTATTTAAAAAAAAAAGAAGCTTATGTTACAGGTGGGTTGCTGTCAGGTGTTGTGTCCGAGATCTCTGGGGAAAGTGCCTGTGGGAAGACCCAGTTGTGCTTGCAGCTGTGCATCAGTGTCCAACTAAACAACATCTGCAGTGGGGGTAGGTCATCTCTTGTTGTTCGTCCATCACACTTGATGAGGACCGCTCTTTCTTTCATCCACCGTGAAACTATTGTTGATTGTCTACGAGTCCAAAGGTGACTATAAGCCCAATACGGGTCCGGAAGGAGCTAGGACAGTGAGGACAGGGAACAGTTTCTGTAGGTAAAGGGCCTGAAATACGGGTTTGTCTAGCCTGTCTGCGCTGTTCAGATGTTTGATCTGTAAAAATAAGGGTGCACTTCCCATATGCCCGATGCACCTAAAGGCGTGAACAGGGATCTTTAATTTTGAATTCATCCTTTTTTTCCCCATCAGCCCTTTCTATTTAAATGCATTTAACTTTTGTTCCGCGTCTTTAGCAGTTCTCCAACTTTAACTGGCTAATGATAAACTGAAATAATATTAGAATTAAAAATGTGTAACTTGGTTTGAAAACTTTACAGTTTAGGAGTTCCATATTTTGTTCAGGCTATTAAAAGTTGCTGATGCCTTCCCAATACATCATTTATTTTATTTTGTTTTCTTCACTATCAGAATTACTACCTTAACAAGTTAATTGATCTGTTACTTTGATTAACAATTAAGCTGACACATTATGTACATGAAAGTTATCGTTTTTCCAAGGTTAATGTATATAAAAGTTAATGTATTTCGGAGGTTAATGTACATAAAGGTTAACGTATTTCCAAGGTTAATGTACATAAAAGCGAACATATTTCCAACATATTTTTTGGGTTAATGTACATAAATGTTAACGTATTTCTGAGGATAATGTACATTAAATTTGCATATATTTCTGAGGTTTATGTGCATGAAAGTTACACAAATTATCTCCGAAGTTCATGAACATGAAACTTTCACTCATTTCTGGGGCTAATGTGCATGAAAGTTACACATTTTAGAGGTTGAAGTGAAATGAAAGTTAACATTCATGTCTAAAGTTAGTCAGCCTGAAAGTTACATATTTCAGAGGTTGAAGTGAAATGAAAGTTAACATTCATGTCTAAAGTTAGTCAGCCTAAAAATTACATATTTCAGAGGTTGAAGTGAAATGAAAGTTAACATTCATGTCTAAAGTTAGTCAGCCCGAAAGTTACATATTTCAGAGGTTGAAGTGAAATGAAAGTTAACATTCATGTCTAAAGTTAGTCAGCCCGAAAGTTACATATTTCAGAGGTTGAAGTGAAATGAAAGTTAACATTCATGTCTAAAGTTAGTCAGCCCGAAAGTTACATATTTCAGAGGTTGAAGTGAAATGAAAGTTAACATTCATGTCTAAAGTTAGTCAGCCTGAAAGTTACATATTTCAGAGGTTGAAGTGAAATGAAAGTTAACATTCATGTCTAAAGTTAGTCAGCCTGAAAGTTACATATTTCAGAGGTTGAAGTGAAATGAAAGTTAACATTCATGTCTAAAGTTAGTCAGCCTGAAAGTTACATATTTCAGAGGTTGAAGTGAAATGAAAGTTAACATTCATGTCTAAAGTTAGTCAGCCGGAAAGTTACATATTTCAGAGGTTGAAGTGAAATGAAAGTTAACATTCATGTCTAAAGTTAGTCAGCCTGAAAGTTACATATTTCAGAGGTTGAAGTGAAATGAAAGTTAACATTCATGTCTCAAGTTAGTCAGCCCGAAAGTTACACATTTTAGAGGTTGAAGCGAACTGGAAGTTAACATTCATGTCTCAAGTTAGTCAGCCGGAAAGTTACATATTTCAGGGGCGGTGTACATCTGCACTGAGGATGCCTTCCCCAGCAAACGTCTGCAACATTTGATACAGGCCAACTCTGCCATTACTGGAGGGCGCAATCTTGGTGACCAGATTTTTATTGAGCATGTTGCAGACTTTGTAAGTTATTCACATTGTACTTGAACTGCTTATTTATGCAGGCAAAGGCTCGAACACAACTTATCACAAATGTCAGAAAGAGTCATAATTTTTTGGGTTATGTTATGAGAAAAGCATGTTATGACCACTAGAACGATCTGTGGAAAGAGAGATGAAGACAACATGAGAAGATTCTTGACAGCCTTTGGTACTGGCATAGAGGAGTGGTAACACACAAACTGATACACACAGTTGCAGATCACAGTTGTGGCAAAGCATGATCGCCCAAAGCACTTGATGATGATGTGAAGCAGGACTTCCAGTCCAGTATGGTGGATAGGCTGGCAGTCTGTTAAAGCTTTGTCATGTTGTTTGCTTTTGGCTATGGTTTTGTAATGCTGTTGCCACACATGGAACTGAATCTACACTGTTTGGTTGCCTACACAACTCAGTTGAGTGCCTGATGCATCACTGTGAGCTGTATGTTTCCTGTGGAGTACCTTTTGCCTGTCTTATGATGGCAGTTGGCCGGTTTATGTTTGGGCTGGCAAAGTGCATATGCAATAGTATTTCAGGTACATGACCAGCATGTCGTGACTAATTTCCTCAATGACAAATTGCACTTCTGGTGGTGACTGTTGGTGTTGGCACCTCTAGCAACTGCCTCATCTGGCATATAGTGCTAGAGTTTAATTTTTATAGACATGTTGGCTCTTGATAGGTGAAATGGTCACCATCGTGCTGGCTGCCTTTACTTCCCAGGATCCCTGTACGGGACCCCATGTAGGGAAAACGTAAAAAGACTCACTGCCAACCCAACAAGCATGTCGTAGGAGTTGACTAACTGGGGGCATCCTTCGAAGTCAGAGTACATCTGCACGAGAGGAGAGGAACCAAGAGTCTGCATACACATAAGCAACATCTGTGAAACGGATGTGCACACAACATTAAGTTCTTCCTTTCTAACCCCCAGTCGAGCATAGGCTCTCAACCAACTCACGCCATTCCTTTGCTGTCGCATGCAACTGTCCCCATGTTTCTGCAACAAGACTAGAGTCTGGAGGTGGTCGAAGATCCAGAACTTTCTGTTGGAGTTTACAGCCAGTGAGCGTAAAGAAGAAGAAGACTTCCCAGGATATTTTCAGAAACTCATAAGAGCCGTTATAAAAAAAAAGGAATACAATTTTATTTCATGGTTTTGTTCACATATTTTCATGGTTTTCTACACATATTTTCATGGTTTTGTTCACATTTTCATGACTTTATCAACAGATTATCATGCTTCTTCTTCACTTCCTCTTTAACTGCTTCAGGTGTCGAGGAAGATATAAGAATGTGCTTCTTGCTCTTCTGTGATTTTCATGATTGCATATGTATATTTGTGTGATCACACTTGCTGGGCTCAGGTCCACATTTATGTATATTTTTTTTCCCTTTGCAGGAGACGTTGGATTTTTGTATCAGCAGGAAACTGCCAACCCTCCTGGAGAGAGAGTTGGTTAAACTGGTTGTCATCGATTCTGTAACCGCATTGTTTCGCTGCCATTACGATGCCACTCAAACCGTAGAGAGGGCCAAGCATTTGACCTCGTTTGCTTCAAAGCTCCGACAGCTTGCCTTTGTTCACAGGATTCCTGTAGTGTGTGTCAATCAGGTATCTTGCGACTCTCTCTCTCTCTGTTTGTGTGTGTCCACATCTCGAGAAGGTGGTAACAGGACAAAGTAGGGGATCGCTAGGATTGGGCGAAGTCTGGCGTGGCCTTGTGCCAAGGGACTGCTATAGTGACCATAAAAGCCACCCTGGGTCACCCTGGCCGACAGGGCTCAGGCCTAGCAAGCCGGCAGTTGATTTAATATCACTACAGAGAATACAGTGAGATATAGATGAACTGTAGAGGAGGATATACAACACAAGGTAGACCAAGAGCAAGATGGAAAGATAACAGAGAAACTCTAGAGGCGACCAGACGAGCAAGAATATCATGTGTTTCACACGACACCTGAAGTGGTGAAGAAGTAAGTGATCTGGAAGAGAAGAAGAAAAAGGAGCCTAAGAACCAACAGATCCAAACCTTAAACCTTTGGGCATCAGGCAAGCAGTAGGTAAATTGTGCTTGAGATAAATTGTGAATATCTTTGCCAGTACGTAGGAAACTTCGTTTTTAAAAGGGGAGGGAACAAATTGGGGCGTATGTAATGAGCATGAGAACTTAGATAAATAAGTTACACGTGCTTCAGCAAATGCAGAAATAGAGCTTTAAAACACAATTTAAAACCCCGTTTGTACAGCTTTTTTCTACTTTAAATAATTGTGAAATATGTATGGAACGCAAAATTGTCAAAATTTACAATTTTCGTCTTGGTCCCTTCACTTGAAATAAACCCTAGCCTTGATATATATAAAATCATGCTCTCGCATTAAGTATGATTTCTGTGTGATGACAGGTCTATTCCAGTATGTTGGAAACTTCGTTTAAAAAAAAAAAGGTCTTGGTATATATGAAATCACACTCTCACATTCAGCATTTCTTTGTGTCCGCAGGTCTCAGCCAATATGTCGGGAGCAGGTGATGCCTCCACTGTTCCTGCTTTAGGGTTGACGTGGGCAAATCAAATTGCATGTAGAATAACCATGTCACGACCTTCAGTGCTGCCACCTAGTGTCCAGAAACACAAGATGGAGTGGAAAGGGAAGCCAGGGGCACTGGCTGAAGCTACCTACAGAAAACTGGCGGTGGTTTTTGCTCCTCATTTACCTTTGAGAGAACTGTTTGTCTTTATTGATCATTGTGGCATTCATGGGCTGGTTTGATACAAGTGTGGTGGCATTCATGTACTGGTGAATCAGCTTGGTACAAGTGTGGTGGCATTCATGGGCTGGTGAATCAGCTTGGTACAAGTGTGGTGGCATTCATGGGCTGGTGAATCAGCTTGGTACAAGTGTGGTGCCATTCATGGACTGGTGAATCAGCTTGGTACAAGTGAGGTGGCAATTATGGACTTGTGAATTAGCTTGGTACAAGTGTGGTGGCATTCATGGACCCGATTGAAAATTTTTTTACCTGCACATTATTTACAGATTACTGTAGAAGTAACCCCAGCATTTTTGGTGTGGCTACTCATGATTTTATTATGCAATGTTACTTTCAGTAGTTTGCCACTGCCCTCTGAACTGATTGCTCTCGATATCATTGTTGAAATAAACAAAAGGATTTTGATTCCAAATAATCAGCAGCTGACACCAAACCAGGTATGTCTGCATTACAAACCAGGAATGTCTGCATTACAAACCAGGTATGTCTGCATTACAAACCAGGTATGTCTGCATTACAAACCAGGAATGTCAAAAGATTAAACAACTGCTGAAATCTGGCACAGCTGGGCCGAAAAGTGCAGATATCACAGCCGAGCTGTAAACCAAACAGGTCAACTACCCTCTTATTGATTAAACAGAACAAGAAGAAGATAGCACAAAGATCTATGGTTTTGTCTCCCCAAAAAATGGCGGTCTGTAACACTGCACAAATCACTCTCCAGGAAAGGCCTTCCATGAAAATCTGACAGACCTGTGCCTAGGAACTCAACAAGTCTGAAACAGAATTCCTCAATCATCTTGTTCGCTATGGAGATCTGGGACCAGAATGGCTTAAAAAAAAAAAAAACATACACACAAGACCAGCAAACAAATGCCCAACCCAAGCCGTCTCTCATTTGTAAAAACTTTTATTATTGGCCACTCCCTTCAGGGTGATTCATATTAATGCCTGTTCACACACAAACTCTTGATACAGCAAAGCCAAATTATCTGAAGAAAATGGCCTACAGTCAGGGAATAGTTGTTTCATCGTAGACGCGATTGTTCTCTTTCAATTTCACGAACATGTAACTTTAAAGGGAGAACATTTTTTAATTTCCAATATTTGTCACAGTGAATATTAATTGTTTGTTCCTAGAATCAATAGTTAGTTTCATGGCTTTTTTTTTTTTTTAAATCTCTTTCCTACTGTGAAATGTTACAAGGCCTTTCCACATACATAAATACAACAGTTCTCTATTACTTCCCTCAAATTAAAAAAGTTTGTGGAGTTCTCTTCCATAGTTCAGAATTCTCCTCAAATACAGTGCTGACCGCTTAAGGTGATCTCAGATGTGGCAGATTTTTGTTATGAAGCACAATTTGTTTATCCTCAGCAATTATATGCTTAAACTCTGTGCTGGACAAGAGAGGAATTTCTGATAAGTTCTCCTTATCAGGTCTTCACTGTACAACAGTTCTCTCCAGTTACAGTGTTACTACCCCTGAAATATAAATGAACAGTTCTCCCCCATGGTCCTCAAATCTAAGAAAATAGCAATTCTCGCCCATAATTCAGCGTTACGTCCCCTTATAGTTTAGTGTCTCTTACAGCATTCCCCCAAAACCAACGTAAAATAACTCGAGTCTCTGCCATGATATGAAAGAACACAGCTCATGAATATGTGCATACCCAATGCCACACAATTTATGTGTGAATGATGTAACATATCTATCTATATTACATCCGACACAGCCAGAAATTAAGAAAGAAAAACAAAACATGTACACAGTCAATTTTCAGTGGATCACCAAAAAAACAGCAACCAAGTATTGACATTTAAATGTTTATATTATGTTTGTTCTAAGCGTGGACATATTTTCTGTACAGTTCTCATATTAATTCTACACACAAAAAACCACTATTTTCATCAATGCCATTTTATACAAATTCTCTGTTTTATCACAAAACAATGTTTGATTCATCCACTTAAAAAAAAAAAGGAAGGAAAAAAGTTTGTAGTATGGCCTGGCATATTCACTATATAAGTATATGCCACTTTGTCATGTTTTTTTTTTTGGAGTACTCAGTCAGCTTTTTTTTTTTTTTTAGAGAACTCAAGTTATACATTAGTTTTAAGGAACAATAATGGCAAAATGGGCAGCCATCGTGGCATAGGATCCAGACTTTTCAAAAAATGACCTTGGCTCCCAGGTTGACCCAGCCTTGAGTAGGTACCAGGTGCAGTCTTAGGAAGTAAAGGCGGCCGGCGTGATGTTGACCACATCACCTATTGAGTACCAAATTGTCTCTAAAATATAGGTCTAGCCCTATATGCCCAATACGCCTGAAGGTGTGGAAAAGGGTCCTTTACTTACTAATGACAAAATGGACACTGGTCATTTGGCTGCAATATATATGCAGTCTTTAGCAGTGAAATGGGTAGAAAGCTGGTTCACTAGTTCAGCCCCAGCTTCCTTAAAAAAAACACAGCTCTGCAAACCAGAGTTCACTGTTAATTTCAAGATCATCATCATCAATATCAGACATGAAAATGCTCCGATCTCCTCCTGAGTACGACTCTACAGAAGCCAGAGCAGTACGTTTGTCTACCCCATACAGCAGATAATGCCATGAGTACAAAGGCAATGGTGTAATAAGATAGGGCGATCAGTTCTCTCACATATGTACAGTCGAGTCTGGATAAGTAGAAGTCGCAGGGACCTAAGAAAATGCTTCGACTTATCAGGACCTACTCATCCAGACAGCACACACAATAGAGAAAATTGCCGGGACTAAGCTGGTCATGTCGACTTAACCGAAATTTGACTTATCCGAGTTCAACTTAAGTGGACTTGACTGTAATATGACCTATGCAAATGTTCTGACTGACAATATTTAACAGGCAGTATGGTACCAAAAAATATGACGTACAGTTGACCTGGTTCTACATCTTGAGGCCTGCAAGACATATGATGCTAACTGTGTACAGAGACTTCAGCTCTAGACAAGTACAGGAATCATATCCCCCTGGCCGCCTTTACTTACTAAACATTTCCTGTTACATCTCCATGTGGAAGATCAGGACACTGCTCCTCCACAATCATGCAGTAAAAGGTGACTACTTGAGGATTCGCTTAAGTTGAATGTGTTGGGCCGAAAGATGCAGAAAACCACAACAAAACATGTGCCAACAACCCATATAAGGGCACATGCAGAAGTCCCCGTGTGGGTTCCGGAGCCCCATTGTGGGGGGGGGGGGGGGGGGGGGGGGGAGGAGAGACAAGAACAGACCAACCGCCTTCCCTACAAGGATGTCGTAAGAGTCAACTAAATGGGTGATTGTGTCGGGTTATGGGTCTGTGTGTATATCTGTGTATGTGTGGGTGTTGCGTATGTCTGTGTGTGTGTCTGTTTCCCTGCTTATGTGTTTGTGTGTGCCCGTGACTGCATGTGTGTGTGTGTCTGGGTTGTATGCGTATGTATGTATGTGTGTACTGGGTGCCTATGTGTTTGTGTGAAAGTGAGTGATTGGGCTTGCGTGTGTATGTGGGTGTGTGTTCGCGCATGAGCGTGCACACATATTTTACCACCCATGCTTTTGTTTTTGACTTCATATCCACAATATGCATATCATTACATGAATATAACATGCTTCATTGATGAAATACAACTGGGTCGAATGTAAGACAGGCCTGCGTGCCTAATTTGTAACCCTTTGAAAATAAAGTTCGTTCGTTCCTTTGCGAAGTGCATCTGCCTAAAGGACAGGAACCGACAGTCTGCATGTAATTAAGCCAGATCTGTGAAATGAATGAGCAGGCAACACTTAGGTTCTGGAACAAGACTGAAGTCGAGAGGAAGGGACCGAACAACCAAAACGTTTTGCTGGAGTATACAGATGGTGAACGTGAAGAAGAAGAATACAGATCTCTTTCTTATCTCCCCTGCTCCTAGAGAAACGTCATCCCTGGCCGTCACTGGTCTTGGAAATACTGGCCATCCCCAAGGGCTGCGACTCTTTTGCCTCTCCCTAACACAATATAACACTATCACCTGGACAGACTCACAGGGGCTAACAATAAACAAACCCCCCCCATGTTCTTATTCAGCTTGGTTTTCTCCACCTCGACCACTATCCTGCCTCTTCTTCTTCTGCGCTAATCTGAAGACGTAAACGCGTTGTGCCCATTTACAATATGGTGGCCATATCTGCACTGTACCAACATCATTTTTTCATACATATTCAAGATATTACAACAAAGATTTCCCTGTGTGGAAATGACAAGTTGTCACAAATAGAACAGATCATATAATCTCCAGAATTCACAGACTACTTTTTACAGATATTCAATAAATCTTAAAGGTCTACAGATTATACTCCTGTAGATAAAATAAATTATATTTCATATGTGGTAAAAGTGTGCTAACTAAACCGTACAGTATGAACATCTGTAAGCAGCCTACAACTACTGCAAATGTTGTTTCAAATATGCCAACTAAAAATACAAAGTTTAGTATTTTCTTTTTATTTAAACATCTTCCCCTATCTGTTTTACTCTGTGGTTCCAGTTAAAGGACACTGTAGTTGTACTCTTATGTTCTTTCAGCATATCTTATCCACAGCCAGCATCTTTTCCTCGCTAGAACTTGTTCAGTTCTCTTTCCCAAGCCCTGCAATAGTGGTCTGTCATGCTGTTTTAGTTCTCTTGTATGCAGCATCAAGATAGAACATAATTTGTGCAGTACATTAAGTACCATAAAATGAAGCATGTCAGTCAAGCCTTAAAAAAAGGTCAACTTACAATGCAAAAAGCAGCCACAGTGGTGTTGCAGTTAGACAGAAGGTTGAATGGATCCAGATTTAAAAAAAAAAAGGGCTCGCAGTTCCACTCAGCCTTAAATAGGTACCAGGCAAAGTCCTGGGAAGTAAAGGCAGCAAATTAAATGTTGCTCAAGAAATCAATTTCCTTTCTGCCAGGCCATATATCCCAACCGTGTCTTCATATTCATTCCT